AAATAGTATGATTAGAATAAAACAAAATGAGGGGCGCCTGGGTGGCTCAGTTGGTTAAGTGACTGCCTTCGGCTCAGGTCATGATCCTGGAGTCCCGGGATCGAGTCCCACATCGGGCTCCCTGCTCAGCAGGGAGTCTGCTTCTCCCTCTCACTATATGTCTCTCTCTCTTCTGAAATAAATAAAATCTTAAAAAAAAAAAAGAATAAAACAAAATGAGAACGCCCATACAGCACTGGAAACATGAAGTAGTCCAGTCTCTTTTAGAAAGCAGGATGGCAAGTAACTATTAAGTTAAAAATACTCTTCCATCTATAATACCCACTCCAGTCCATCATATAGGAATGAAATATCTGTATAGATATATATAGATATGAGTATTTCACGAAGCATTGCCTGATTGTATTTCACGTTGGATTGTTTCAAGTTGCAAAAAGAAAACTGAGTGGAAACAAATGAAAGCCTACTGATAAGTGAAGGGTTGAATTCATATGGTGTATTCTTACCATCTTCTATAATGCAGCCACGAGAGATAAGAGAGCTGGACCATCTGATATGGTAGAAGTATTTTCATGTGCTATTAGTGAGCAAGTAAGTTACATAAAAGTCTTATTATATAATCTTATATTTATAAAAAAAGATAAATAATCCCTACTATACATGTGCATAGGTGTGTGTGTGTATATGTATATATATAAGGTGTGTGTGTGTATATGTATATATATACACATACAGATATTTACACATGTATGTGTATCTGTGTATATTTTCACTTGCAATTACACAAACATGGTAAAATGCCTAAAAGATGAATATTTTGGTCATTATGGGTCACTGGGGAGCAAGAGGAGTGTGAGGAGTACGAGAAGGGATCCAAATAAAAAAGTATAAGAGAACAGTAGTACTACACTAAACCCTCCAGTATATATGCAGCTAAACACATATATATCATCACCCTCAGTATTATGTAAAATAACATAGACGTGTTTAAGGAATGATTGAATGAAAGTAATGAAAAGGGACTAAGCACAGAAACCTTGTGAACAAATCAAAATACCATTTTGAACAAATTGAAACTATTAAATTACAAATCAATTAAATAATTTCTGACACTAAGAGTACCTAGGTCAACTCTCCCTATTACAGTACAGAGATCACCAGGTGTTTTTGCAGTAATTGTCTCATGTTAAACTCACCACCCTGCCTATGATTAAATATAAGGATGAAAAACAAGGATCCAGAATCGCTATCATTAGGCATAGCTTGTAACCAATTTTGTATATTTAGTTTAAGAAATTGATATGCTTTCAGGTCAGATTTTAAAGTCATCTGCTAAGAGAAAAGTTTACATTATAAACTTTCATTCAAAATTTCCTGCCATCTTATAAGGCCACCAAATCTAAAAGATGCCAAAAGCAAACCATAGAAATGAATACTTAGAAACGAGAGGCTGTGCCTGAGGATTTCAGTATTCTACCCATGAAGCTGGCACTAACATTCTTTTAAAAGAGACCCAGCTGAACTGGGAATGAAGAATCACAGCTTCTAATCTCGGCTTTGCTGAGAGCTTGCAATGTGACTTTGAGTCAATCACTTGACCCTTCTGAGCTTCTGATTCCCTGTAGGTAATAATCCTGGCCTTATCTCCCTCATTGTTTCAAAAATAAAATGAGAAGGATGATTTATGTGAAAGCACTTTGAATAGTAAAATGTGCTATATTATTATTCAAACAAGGCATTATCCTCTCAAACCTACTTAGCAAGGGGTTGTAAATGAAATACTGCATATTAATGCGATCCCGGGCTTCAGAGAACTTGGATTCTCTGGGCACCGTTACAGTCTCAACTGTTTTTCAGCACAGCATAAATTATGTGCTCCAAACAAGTCTTCAATACCCTTCGGAAGCCTGAGAGGCCAGTGTGAAGCCGCTTAGTGCCCCCCAAATAGGTACCACTGAAGAGAAAGGAAGAGTGTTTCAGAAAAACAGTGAACGGGTTCTGCCTGCCAAGTCTGTGCTCGAGCTGCAGTTTCTCATGCGCACGGGTGTTGAGAATAAAGGAAGCATGTCTAAAAACCCAAGTCTAGGCAGGAATTTCCACACCCTCTGGGTAGTTCTCCGAGTTACTATTACATATGCATGTCCGCGCGTAAGTGTGAATATACACAAACATGACATTACAAAAGCAGATAGCTTTTCCACGTTACACACCCAATTCACAAAATGGCACCACTTCCACAAACCGTATTTGCTACTGTAGTTGGGTCCTTTTTCAAGCATGTTTTGTGCACTGTGGATGCTAGAGTCATTGACCCGTTCGGGAGCATTCTAAGATATCCACAAAGTACGCTTTTTCACAAGTGGATTGTGTAGGTTGCATCTCAGAAATTATTTTTCTACTTATGCATCTCAGAAATGTCTGTGTAGTTATTGTTATTATTGTTTTTAAAATATTAGAGCATTGAAATGAGGCAAGACTTGGAAAAATTGGGTCATAGATTTTCTCAATCTGGGACCCTGACTCAAGCTGGGAATTCTCACGGGCGTTTTATTAGAACCACTGAATCTGCTCATTACCTGTGAGGTTTCAAAGGAAGTCAGATCCCTCGAACAAGGTTCCCCTTGTGTGTCCAAGCGCACCTTGGGCTTTATTCTCCCCACCAGCCCATAAAGGTAATAGCAACACACTCTGGGCACACAGTAAAAAAGCCTCATTCCTGGTTGCCAAAGCCCTTAGGGCTGTCGTTCTTCACTCATCATGGCTCCTGGTAGGCCGGTCACTGCCAGGAAAGAGTTTTTCTCCATATACTGTAACTTAGTGGTGAAGGGTCAGTGTTACAATGTCCGAGAGATCTGAACTGGCATCCCAGCTCAAGCACTTAGGTGACTTTGGGCAGGTCTGTTAACCTCTCGGATCCGATTTCTTCATCTGGCAGAGGGGCATAATAGTTTCTAATGAAAGGGATGATGGTGAGTGTTAAGTGAAATCATGCCTGGAAGGTGTTTAGGACAGTTCCAGGCACGTCACAGGCACTCAACCAATGGCACCTGGCAGGAAGAGTAAAACAGCCACCGTAGCGGCCAAGGCCGCTCACCACCACCGTTGTAGCAAAGTCAATGCTTAGCCCATTAAAAGAGAACAAAAACAACTTATGCCCAAACTTAAAGGGAGGCAAGCTCTACACATCAATTAGTAAGAGTGGAACTACGCAGACAGCTTTCCTGTCCACAAATCACAAGTAAAGCTACATAAAATCTCTACGAGGAAGACAGGATCTCCACTCCCCCGGGCAACTCCTGAACAGCTCCATGGCAAAGCAAGAAGGGAAAATGAGATCTAAAACCTGCACCTTTGAAGCATTTGTACATGTAGCTTAAGATGTACTTGATGTTACAAAACACTGTAGATCCATATGTATATCTAGAATTGTAAACTCTAGGTTCGAAGAACTCATCTCCCTGCCCCTGGTATGACTGCTCAGCATCATAGTATCTTCATTTTTTAGTCTTGTCTTTTAAAGACGAGATCAAGCTTGTCTGCATGATTCCTGTGGGCATAGTGGGGACACAGCTCCGCACAGCTGGGATTGAGAGAATCCTGATTTATAGCATTTGCCAATTTCCATGGTGTAAATACTCCACCTGAGACTCACCAAGAGCAAAATTGAGAAGAGACACAGATGACCAGTGGGAGCCAACCTCATCAATGTGTATGTGGGGCAAGCATGGGGCAGGGGGTGGAGATGTTATCCAGATAAAGATTTCAGTTCTCTAAACCAATCAGGTCACTCCCACTCTAAATTGTCTGATTCTGTTTCTCTCTTCAGCCTGAATTATTTCCATTCGCTTAATTTTTCCCACTGATCTTACCTTCTTGTCTCTGTGTCCCTCCGGGTGCTCTGCTATGAATTATGAACAATCTGTACGTATCCTTCTGACTGTAAAAATAATGAAAGAGAGGTGTACAGAAATCATTTAGGGAGATATAGATACCTGGATTTCCAATAGTGCCATTATAAAACAAGCTTATTTTAGCCAAGGTTCACTATGGTACATGTCCAGAGTAAGTTGCCAATATTCAAGGTCAGGTCCTTAGAAGTGCACATATGGCCCATTTCCAACATGAGTTAATATGGTCTATCAACTTCTTTCTCTACCCAATCCAGTCTGCACGCTGCTGCCAGAAATACCTTCCTGAAATAACACTTGGATCACAGTCCCTGCTCAAAAATTCTAGTGGTTTCTCAGTCCTTCAGAAAAAGCCCAAACCCTTCACCTCAAGGTCTCTTGCAGCCAGAACGTCAATGGCTTCAGGTGCCCACATCTCTCATGATCTCTTCACCACAGCCTACTCACCATCCTCTCTGCCCTTGTACACCTGCCTTCCTTTATGTAGCGAACATTTCAATTTACCTTTGCTAAACTCACACGCTTTCTTTTATTCTGACCTCAAATTCTGTAACTCTCTTCTACCCACCTGATTTGATCTTCCGTCCTCGGAATTCGTCCCTCTGTCTTGTCTTTACCTCCCAAATTACTCACACTGCACACTGTTGGCATTGAACCTATTTGTTTTTGTAACCTCCTCAGATGGATAAGCAGCATGAAAAGCACCAGGACCACGTCTTTGACCATCCTGCCCGCACTCTCCAGTAGAACTTTCTGCAATGATGTTAGTGGTTTTTATCCTCACCACTCAGTGTGATAGCCCTAGCCATACATGGCTATTGAGCACATGAATGTGGACAGCACAACTGAGGAACTGAACTCTATTTCCTTCAATTCATGAACATTTAAGTTGAAATAGTCACAGATGACTGGTAGCTACATATTGGCCAACACAGCTAGACCCTCTCTAGAATGTAGTGCGGCGTCTTCGACTTTGCCTCTGATCAATATTTGCTGAAGGACTTGATGAGATTCCCTTTTGTCACAGCTTAACCCCAAAACTGATTTCTAGCTCATCTCTAACTTCTAATTATCTTTCCCTACAGTTATAGCCACTTCATAATCCCCCAAAACCCTTCTGGTGACACCTTAGCAACAACAGCCACTGGATAGAATTTATGTGATCACAAGAATGCAGTCTGCTTGCGGCCCACGAAGACTCAAAGGTGAGCACCAAGCATGCCAGGAATGGAGCATTTGAGAGCCAACTACTTCTTTTCGCAGGCTCCTCTCCCCTCTCAAGGGCCAGGGTGCTAAAGCCTCCATGTCGAAGTCTACACTGAGACTTTCTAGGAACTGTCCTACCACTTTTGGATCATTTTTGCCATGCTATTTAAGTTCAGTGGAAGTCTAAATTTCAGTTTCTCATAGCTGAAACATAGTTAAGACCTGGTAAAAAATATAAAATAATTTGCAGCAAATAACCTCGTTTATTTTTGCTCATTCACTTGCACAGATGGGACAACAGTTCGTTTGCAATTTAAGGAATTTAAAATAATGTAAACACTCTGTTTCAGCAATGTTGAAGAAAAACTAGAAAATTCTTTCTCTCAACCAACTTGGAAAATGCTACACTTCATTGAGAAATAACTCTGAATAGAATTTTAAAGAAAACAGGTATCAATGAGCCCAGGGCACCCACTCTACATTTAACAAATATAATCACTGCAATTTAGAATTGTTTTCATAAAACTATTAGTAAATCTTTGCCTACAGCAGAGATATCCAGAAATGTATTCTATTTCTGCAGCACTCTCCATTAATTAACAGAACCCTGACTTACAGGACTATTAAAATGTCTTTTATTTAAAATGAGCAAATTAAATTAGATCACTTCACTTTATAAACATAAAAAGTAAAATGCTGTTTTCATTCTTCACTCTGTAGTAGTCATTTAGAACAAGGTAATGTAATAACATCTGTCTCATACAAAAAAAAATCAATTTCTGTAAGAAAAGGAAACGTTTACTTATTTGCCTTGTGTTTTTATTAGACACTGAGCTTTGCAGATGTCACTTTCCATGAATAATTCACCCCAGAATTTGGCCCAACTCCTTATTAGCTTCCATTTTTCAGAAGACATTCAGCATTGCATCACATGTCCTAGTGCGCACATGTGCACACATACACACACACACACACAAACTTAGTGTCAAATGTAATTAAATATTTTACAGTACAACCTAAGTCACAGCAGATACTTTTTATGAAGTTCATATTATGCTATAAATACTCTTTGTAGAAAAATTAGAAACCACTCATAGGCAGCTAGTCATTTTGTACTTTGCTTTCCATTCCCAAATAATCTTTGACTTCCAATTACATTGCACTATGGGACTTGTAATGCTACACAATGTTATATTGTTCTACTGCAAATTCCCAATTTTGATATCAAAGGGAATACAAACCTTCCTCCAAGATAGTGATACTAAAACATATTCCCTGTCAAGTGGCAATTTCTCTAGCTCTAAGTGTAAATACTAGACTATAAAAAGCAAGATATTTCTGATAGCCAGATTAACTATATGGCATGCTTAAATAAATACAATGTTGTTATTTCTGAACTCATATAGCACCCAAACTAAGCCAAAAGATGTTACCAGAATATATGACCAGGTAGAGGTCATGCAGCCCTTTATGGTGTAGAGAATAATATGTATAAAATTATGAGTATGATGTATATAAATTTATATGTAGTGTCCTGATGAAGAGTTTATGAAGTTGTCCTATCTCTAAAATTTTCCTACACTCATCCACCTACTTTGATTTTCCTTACTCAGGTGCTTAGAAGCCCCTTTATACACAAAGTACAAAGGTCCTCTTCGCTTAGCTTGTTATATTTATCTCAGATTACGAATAAGTGGCAACTGTTTTCTTAGAATGTTATAGTGTACTAGAAATATTTTTTGTTTTTGTTTTAATTCTGAGTGTAGCTTCCAGGAAAATCAATTTGGTCTGACGTATATGGATATTCCATACTTGAGAAACGCCTACATTGATGTAACCTGTTGGGCAGATTGGCTGAAGGGCAGTTCGGGTTCATGTATTGAGCAGAACCTGTTCTAAACTCCTGAGACATTCACACTTCAGACAGCATGTTCACAGTCTAAAAACTTTCTTTACTTGCAAACACCCAGCGTGAGATCTGCCCATATTTTAAACCAATTAGCATACGTTATATTCAAGGCAACACACATCCAGAGTCGGTTAGTGTGTTTCAACAGTATCCAGACAATCTGAAGGCAGAATGTGGGTCTCGCTAACAATCACAGCTGAGCCTAAGATTCAAAGCCAGGCCCAGGACCTAATTCATTAATCAATTGCACAAACCAATAAAAACTACTTCTCATGTTTAAAAAATAGGCAAACGAGATTGCTTGGGTATAAGAGATAGAAAATCCTACTAATGAAGCCAAGTGGCTTTTTTTACTGTGAGAAAAAAAAATACTCGAATACCTCATAAAATTGAAAAATATATTAACAAGTCAGTACAACTTAGCATTTAGACTAGAAAAAGGAAAATATTAAAAAGATGTCAACAATATTATTGCTATTAAGTCAAACCAAAAAGCACTCTATAAAATAGTAAATACAGCATGATGTAATTTTTTCTAAGAGGCGTAAATATAGAGAACAAGCTATTAATGGTGATTATCCTCAGTTGGTATATTTTCTTTTTTAAACCTATCTGTGCTTTTATCCCTTTTTCTATAAGTAGGCATTCATGTTTAAATTTAATTTAAATTTAAAAAAAAACAACTGAGTGGAGCAGGTGTACAGTTGTAGTATAGTATTAACAACAGCAATAATCATCATCATGATAGCAAACCTCAGTGTTTATAGTATGTCTAACTATTAGCATACCGTTTGCTCCAATTAATGTTTGTCATAAAAAATATTGCTCTAAAACCCTATTCAATATTTACCATGGGTTGGATATTTCATATTCACACAGTCAATCCACATTATCAAATTTGATGAAAATGTCCCATATTTTAAAACGAGGTTTTCAGTCAGCTGTGATTCACTTCTCGTGAGTCGGTCTCACAGCTAAGTCATCACACCTCTACCAGAGACCTGAAATTGATGATGGCATGAGATTTTTTTCTCGACTGCCTATTTGCCGAAAGGTTACCTAACAAGTCACTTCATCCATTCATGGATGGAGCAGCTACCATATGCTAGGCACACTACCTGGGATACGTGCATGAGAGATATAGACATAAACATCATAAGATTCTGTCTCTTACAGTCATGCATGCCTAGTATACATGTAGGGAGATGTTGGGAGAGAGCAAGGAAGATGTGAAAACAACTAATTACAATATGGCATGGTATGGGCTAATAGAACAAAATACAAATTACTAGAGGAATAAAGGCAGGGGAAGGCCTTTCTGGAAAATAAAGACATTCCTCTGAGTCTATTAAAAGCAAATTATGAATTCTAATGTCCACTAGGATCATACCACTCTAGCTCCCAGGAATGAATCAAATTAATATATATATATACATTAGGCATAAAACTCAATGGAGCTTAAATTCTCCAGTGATCTCATAATGGGGATGGGAGTGAGGGTGGGGAGCTTTATGTCCTCATTTGCACAATTCTATTGGCAAGTATAACGGGGATAGCCAGGATATCAAGTTAGAGTATTTCCATGCTAGGTAACTCTTACCTCCTAGTTTCCCCATGATTCCTTATATGAGAAAACACACCTGGCCACCTCATCTGTTAGAATTTTTTTCCCTGATACAGAAAAGTTATTTCTGCCACCAATGAAAGCTAAGCCATGAAGCTTATTGAAATAGATGTGGCATAAGAAATGTTTCAATCAGAAAGGCAGTTAATGGAAAGCTACTTCTCTGAGCATGGCTGAGTGGAAAAAGCAGCACAGAAATGGTGGTCAATGATGGCAGAGCCAGATTCTGAAGTGTCTAATCTCTCCCCCACCCCCACCCCCCGGCATCTTGGGAGACCCATGAACACTGGAGTTAGCAAGATCCTTTCTCTGGTACAATCTAAGGCATGAGGAAGCTCCCATCTGTCTCTGTGACAATGCAGCAACAAGAGAGACGTCCTTTGGGAGTCTGCAGTAGCAGTTTTCAATGAGGGACACGCCCGAATCCTGTGAGCTCCAAAGGGGACCCACAGAGTGTCGGGAGGGCTGGAGGAAGTCTGGGTTGGAAGCAAGGGCAGGGGAGCATGGAGACATGAGACTGCAGGCCAATGTCTACACCCACAAATGTCAGGTGTGGATATCAGCATGATCTCTCTCGAGGCCACACAGAGCCAGCCACATGTCAGCAGACCCCAGCAGGCCAGAACAGACAAACTTCCTCACCACAAAGCCAGAGAACAGCACACAGAACAAGGACCTGCATTCATAGAAGCCCGACTTGCCCACTGCCACAGGATTATATGATCTCCCTCAGCCCCCAACCCTGAGACATATGACACCATCCCGGGGAAGAGTAGGGAAACCGTTGAGAAATCTGAAAGACTGAACATTTACCCTAAAGAGACTGAGTCATCCAAAAGAAATGATCTAAACAGGAAGAGACAGAAATGCAGTTAATTAGCAAGATTAAAGCACCTCACCCCCACCCCTATGCCCCAATCAGCAGAATTAACAAGCTCAGGGGAAAATTAAATCATTATCAAAAGATTCCCCCAAGCTTCTGAAAAGCCTATGAAGGAATTATATGAAGTAGGAGTCACAGGGCAAATGTCATTTATCCTATTACACTAACACCCAGCACTCAAAAGCCGGCCTCTTTGAAGCAAGGGGACCCTCCCTCAGTTGACAACTTGGACTGATCATGATAGAAAAGACGAGAGCCTCAGTCACTAGATCTTTGATGTCAATACAGATAACTTATTCCTCAGCTGCTTGCTGCTGCTTGCCTTGCCTGGCAAACTGGGTGGTCAGTGATGATGACTAGCCACAGTATCCATCCCTAGTCCAGTTGGTCTTATGTTATTACCCCTCGACTCACATTCCCTGATTCTTATGAGATGGATAAGAAGAAAAAAGTAAATGGTATTCATGAATTGGGTAGATGTTTTAGTAGAGTGTAAAAAATCTGGACTGGGAGGGGGCAGTAGACGACAGAGCTGATACTATTTTGTCACCAACTTTCCACTTAAGGTCCACCATTCAGGGAAAAGAACGTTGTCAAGTAAGTTTGGAGCGCCGGGTTGCATAACGTGAAGCAGACTTCTTCTCGGAAGGGCTACCACTAATAAACCTAATGTGCACATTGCAATGCTGAAAGGGCTAGCGATACGGTTTCTCAAACGTATTCCAGTAGCCGACCGCTACTGGCTGGCACCAGCTCAGGAGACATTGTGGGCATCTCTTCCCAAATCTGAGATAGGCGATGTCACTGGGACTTTGAAATCTTAGCAATGGTGGGAGTATTTATACCACAGAAAGTGATAAACACTAAGAGGGCTTTTTTCCTTTCCCTGGAAAGCTGGTTCTTAAACATTTACCAGCATACCATTTAGTCTCAGAAACCGCTTGTTAATACAACATTCCACAGCATTGGTGTATTAGTATTCTATTGCTGCTATCGCAAATTACCACAAAGTTAGCGGCTTAAAACAACACAAATATATCATCTCACAGTCAGGAAGAAGTCTGACACCGTTTCACTGGGTTAAAATCCAAGTGTCAGCCCTCCCTTCCAGAGGCTATAGGAGATAGTATATTTTCCTACCTTTTCCAGCTTCTAGAGCCATCTACATTCCTTGGCTCGTGGCCCTTCCTCCGTGGTCAAAGCCACCAACAACAGACCTAGTGCTTCTCACACTGCATCACTCTGACATCCTCTTCTGCCTCTCTCTTCCACTCTCAAGGTCCCTTGTGATTATATTGGCCCACTTGGATAATCCAGAATAATCTCCTCATTTTCAAGTCAGCTGATTAGCAACCTTAATTCCATATATAACCATAAATACCCTTTGCAATGTGAAGGACATATGCACAAGATCTAGGGATTAGGATGTGGTTATCTTTGAAAGGCCATTATTCTGCCTAACACAACTCTTGTTCAAGGAACACATGTTGGGGAGAGTCACAAAAGCCCTTTAATGGAAAGTGCATGGGCTACTCACTTTTCTAAATCATCTTGTATAAAGTATTTGTCCCCATAAAGCCTCAGTGAATTGCTCTATGAAATGGGGATACTCTTTTATTTATCTAAGTTGTCTGGTCAAATATGATACTAGAAGTGACATTATCTTAAAAAATGATGAGGTTCTATACCTCTATATCATTATTATTAATACTAATACAAGGTTTTACTAAAGGTCAAAATAATTCCCATAACTTAAAACTCAATCATTCCCTACCTGCATGTTCTCAAAAAGATAGGGTTGGCTCTGGCCCGCTGCGAGGAGGAAAAGTGTATAGTAATAAGGCTAAGGACACGTACTTAGACTTCAGTCTCCAGGTCACTGTAGATTTTCACTTGTGCCTAGATCTAGATTAGACTTCCTAGAGTCCTTTGAATTAATACAAAACCTGGGAAAACACAGGATCTTCGGGCCCTTTGGGAGTAGATCTGGACAAATTCCTCTTTATGGGCCACTCTTTCCTCTCTCTCCTACTTCAACTCGATAACATTTGTAAGCCATAAAACATAAACAAGTGGGCTGAGGTGGGGTGAAGGATAGGAATCACTTTTAATGTCCACTCCCTTTTAGATGTAACATGAAACCAAGATCCTTTCCAGGGAGAGTCATAGAACTAAACACACCGAATCCTAAGTGTTGATTCATGAGTTTATGTCTCTCTGCATCTCAAATAAATGAGATTACTTACTAAGATGTAATTTTCACTTTTTGCTATTTATATATTTGGCACGTTGTCTTCTTTTGCCTGTTACATTACCACCACCCTTGACAAAGAGTAGATGCACAGCTGGAAAAGAGATAAAAGAATGTATTTTTTAATGAACTATAGATTTTACATGGAAAATAAATCTTAATAAACGATGTGTTCATTTGACTGTGTAAAATTTCGAACCCTTTTACTGTCCCGTGAAGAAAAACAAGATCTCTCTGGATGTCTTTGGCGAAGGCAAGTACTTGTAAGTTGTTAGTTATCAGCCTCTAATAAACCTGATCCTATCCCAGGTTAGTTAAATAATCCACCACTCTGGGGTTCCTGGAAGGGGTTCCACCTTTGGAATCTGTGTCAGGTTATACTGCCATCAACAAAACCAGCCAGGCAAGATGGTGACCTGGGCATAGCTAAGATTATGGAACAGAATCACTTTGTTTTGTTGTGAGTCGACTGTGAGCATTATAAGCGTCAGACTTAGTCTTTCGTTTTGGGGCTTTTTCTGATAACCCTGTCAGGGCCCAGACTAACTAAGCTTCTCTGCGCTAGTCCTGCCCCTGACACACTGTGTCATGTGAGTTTTCATTAGCTTTGCCTTCTTGAAAATGACAGAAGTCCTTAGGTTAGAAAAGTATAAGATTCACATGCATCAGGAGAAACAGCGAGCCGTGAAACCTAGAATTGTTTCCACAGAAAATGAGTAAAGAAAATGCTAAAAACAAAGATGTTTTAAGTGGGAAGAGAGAGAAATAATTACAAAATTTGGATATGGCGCCTTTCTTAGAATCTCGTAAGTATTTTGAAAGCAGGTATGTATATGTGACTTTCAGGTTCTTTTTTTCTAGGAGGAAAAAAATCACAACATCTGAGATTTCTTATTTTTCTACTTTTTTCCAAAAAGCTTGGCTCAGGCCCTGGGCTCATTCAACAAGGGCTAGTATGCTCAAAAAATCATTGAGCACAACCAGCATGATAGGACTGCTCAATTAAAAACAGCTATGTAGACTTCCAAAGGAAGAGGACTGTTTTATGCAAAGCCTTCAGATAATAAAGCAGATCCAAGAATATCCCTAAGGCAATTCTGGGAACTCTTGAAACAGAGGCCTCAGCAGGTGTAGGCTGGATCTTCTTCCCACTGTGCTTTCTCTACCTCATCACCAATGGAACTTGATTCCTCCCCTTAAGATTCACCTTCACCACTGAGTGCTCCTTGTTAATATCACCCAGTTCCAATCATTGGTGCATTTTGGCTCAGCTGCCCAGTAAGAATAGCTAAACTAGTTATGTGTTTGCCTGCTATGTGTAGTTTTACATGTTTCATCAGCAGCTGGACATTGTTGAGAGGGTGCAACTGCTTGTCTCCTTTTCACATAAGATGGTAAATTCCTTTAAGGACAGAGACTCTATCATCTTCTTCCTGTGAAGATTCTACTCTTTCTTGTAAAACATGGAACACTTTGGGGTATTCATAAATCTCTTATTATAATGTTAATATGGATCACAGAAGCAGAAGTTTGAGTTCTTTTCCATCAACTGTATTCCAATTTACTCTGTTTTAAAGAAAGGGCAACAAGTCTGTGAGAGAATCTGAGACTTTCTTCAGGGATGGTGGCCAGACATATTTAGCAGATTGGAGATATATAATCTTTGGGGAAACTGAGCCAACCAAGTCAAACTCTCTCCAAAATCTCAATGACTCTGGAAAGAAACACTCCCAAAGGGCTCTAAGAAAGTTTAGAAGAGATTAGGCAGAGCTAATACTGACATGAGTTTAGTAGGGGTAAATATGACACACATAATCAGCACTCAGTAACATTTATTTCACCCTCTTCTCTCATGTAGGTGAAGTATTTATCACACGTTGAGATGGAAGAACTGCATGTGCATAGAAACAGAGCCTGTGAGGAAACAAGGAAGGACTAATCTGAGCCTTCTCCACAGAACTGAATAAGGCTATTTCAGAAGGAAACCATTCCTCCTGGGTCTGTTTTAAAGCATGGCCAGAATCTCCAAAACTTGCCCTCATCAAGAGAGGAGGTCTGTTCTTCCCTTGAATTTGGGTGGGCTCATGAGAGACTTGACTAAAAGGGTATAGTAGAGGTGACAATATGTGATTTCCAAGGCTAAGTCACAAAAGGCCACGTGGCTGCCACCTTTTTTTTCAGGAATAAACACTCACAAGTCCAGAGTCACTGTGTCAAGAGTCCAACAACCCTGCAGCCACCATGCTGTGAGTAAGCTCAGACCACATGGAAAATCCCATGCAAGAGTTCCAGTCGATAGAACCACCCAAGTGAGGTCTTCTAGTTAGTTCTTTCTGCCATATGCCAGACATAAGTGTGAAGATGATTGTAGCCTCTAGAGTTTTGATTCATGCCCAATTATTCAAATCTTCCCTTGCTGAGGCCTCAGATATGGTGAAGCAGAAACAGACTGTCTCTGCTGTGTCCTGTCCAAATTCCCGACTCACCAAATATATGAGAATAAAATACTGTTTGATGCCTCCCTTCTTTTTCTGCTATGGAAAAGATTGAAAAGACAGGGCCATTAAGACTATGTCATTTCATTGACTATCAGATCACCGCATTTTCATGATTCAGTGGCAAATAATTTAATTATATCCATCGTCAGAAGAATGAACATCTAGTTCATCTAGTTTATAGTTTCTCATGCCAGAAACCATAGTTCTTATGTTTTGCTAAACCACCAAAAAAGATTTTGTCTCTGGTTGGCAAGTTTATACTACTTGTTTTTTCGTTATCGGGACAGTGGAACACAGAGAGGTTCTATCTTGGGGAAACTGCGGACAGAGCTACATCCTCACTTGCAACTGGTGGCCTGAAGCAGAAATGAAGTGTCAACCCCAGCCTGACAGACCACACTCGAGAGATCAGGTATCCCACTCCTGTCCCTTGAACAAATGATTAGTAGAAATAAGCAGCAAAATGTCTATTATTGAAATAACAGTAAGTTCAGTGATACCTCTATATTAGCATACCAGCTGGAGAAAACATTTTTTACCTGAAGATACTTTGGCTAGAGACTCTCAGAATATTCACATTTTTTTCAAATATTGGAAGGAACGGTATTTAGAATGAGAGGAGAGAAGTTAGAACAGGAAAAAGGCAGAGCAAGGCTAAAAAAAAATCCAGAAAAATGCTGATTTAACCATTCTGAAAATGAGTCCAAAGTTTATTATGTTTAGTACCAGGTGTGCACTGTTTATTCCATTGAATAAATACTAATTGCACTTCTATTTATGTAACATAAATATATCACACTTAAAACCCCTTTCAGGCTGCAAGCCAAAATGCCACATATTTCAATATGATTAAAAGTAATTTTTATTACTGAGCTTTAATAATATTTTCACTAAATAGAACTGACTTCATTGTTTTTATAATTTTATTAACCATATTTCAGATACCTGAATTCCAGACATATGGGATCCCAGTCTTTTGATTTGGCATGATTAAACCAATTAGATTATTTTAAGAATCCATCTAAGATAAGCTTCTCATTAATATACTTATTCATTATTGAGGGAAATTATTGAGGGGGTGGTCACAATTTGTTAAGCTTTAGTTCTGCTAGAACCCAAACTGGTTTCTCACATGGACCTCACATCTTAGACCCAATTCTGGGATTCCAACTCAACTTCATGGTTGGATAAAATAATTTTAAATCTGACACAATGGACACATCACTAATTTTGTCCATCAAGGAAGAAAGCATAAAGGAGCGACAGATTATAATCAGGTATTAATGAGGCTAAGGATCACTAAAGAAGTCTGGATTGCTCCAGGGTTTTACTGTAAGATGTGGCCGCAGGCACCTTCCCAAGACTTAGAAGAACTAACTCATAAATGCCAATTAGCAATAGGAAGGCAGTTGAAGGAATATGGACACATATGTGCAAATCCATCAATATTCCTAGGAAAAGTATTCAAAATACATTGAGCAATGTCATGAAAAACAAAACACTTCTCACCAAGAACCCATTCTTCATCTTTCCTTCCCATTTTGCTCTGTAGTTGATGAGATCAAAGAGCTATAAAGTGAACCATCTTCAGGAATTTACCTGGAAGCCCATAGGTTAGCCATCATGTGTCCTAGACTTGCTAGAGAGAGCAGCTGTAGATGGCCACAGATTTCTTTGAATTCTAAGCGTTTCCACTGTGCCTGAGTATCATCTCCTCCAGAAAATGTAACTCTTAGACATTTAGCTAAAGTTCCTGACATTGTAAATCCAGCCTAGTGGGCAAAATCTTTGCTCTTGACAGTCTAATCCAATAAATATTTATTATTTTCTAAGCATTTTGAATATCTTTTGTGCTGGCCATATTCAGAGTACCCTATATCATTAATGAAACATGCTTGCCTGATGAGTCATAGAAAATATCCAATTAACCATATGTCTCCTGATGAACCTATCTCTTACAAATTGGTGGGTAAAAATTTAAACAGTATGAAGGGAGTGGAAGAGTACAATATGAAATATTTCAAATTAATGTGAAATAGCAACTTGAAGAAAACAAATTATGTTTTCTTCTGGTTAAATGCCATATTATTAAGTAAATACTTCCCTACCAATTTTTTTCTCTGCCTTTATTTTCAGTTCCAAGTTTGTTTGATATTGACCCCTGGGTTAACTAGAAACTGTAAGTTTGACTTTTTCTTAAATTCATGCAATCTTAAAAATGCCTACTATTATTAAGGCATATATTATGCTCTTGAAATTTTAATTTGCTAAAACAGTAACCTTTAGAACCACTTTCCTATGATCACTTGAACGAACATTGATCTATACAGCTATTTCAGTTCCAGTTGGATGTACCTGGCAATGAAAATGAAATGGAGATTCATTCATATGGTCAGAATTATTTCATTAGGTTACTTGCCCTGGTTTTAGAAACGGCATGCTGCATGTATTTAAATTATTCCTTCTTCTCTTAAAAGGATAAAACCTTGATTGAAATAACTTCCTCCTTTTTTCAGTCAACTACAAGAGAAAGAAATGAATTAAGCACCAGGATTAAATTAATGCTGAATGTAGCCGCTCATAACCACATCTCAGATTTAATAGTGTTAGGAAAAGAGAAGAGAATGGATAAAGAATCAGCTGAAGATACATAATAGGACAACTGGACCATCAGTTAATTGCCTAAGGGTCACTTATGAACCTTGATTAAAAACAGTAACATCTTGATGTGAGAAGTCTACAGGACTTCGTCATCCCTCTCCCCACAAGCTCCCACAGGCTTTGGGGGCCCTGCTGGTTGCCTTAGTCACAGGAAGTTTTCTTCCTTTAATCGAATCCCTCCTCCCCCAACTCCTAGCCTCCTTCTTTAAAAAAAAAAAAAGGAGCCTTTGCTCAGCAGACCAGCTCCAACTTTTATAACTCTTTTCTTTTGCCCCCAGCAGCACAGAGCCCAAGGTTTGATGGCAGCTGATTCCACTGTCACACAAGGATTTCCAGAAGAGCTACCTGAAATGACGGACCACAATGCTAAGGCTACTGGCTGAGAAGTTTCTGAGGAATCTGCTTAGGAAACTGACTACATCTCACAAATGCCAGATTAGTATTTGTCTTCCTTTCTCAGATGTCCTGAAGGTGGAGTTCTTAGTTGCATGTCAGAAATAGGAGGAAGGGAATCGGGTGTGGGGGGGGAACACCACAGGAACTTGGCCTCCCTGCAGGGTCCAGCTCTTCTTGGCCATTTCAGTTCCTTTTACTCCTGAGTATTATTTTTATCCTTCTTAAGTTCTCCTCCATGAAATTGAACGAGTTAGAACCAGGTCTTCTTTTTATAACCACATGTACCTGGCTTTTCTGTGATTTTTATTTTTTTTAAGATTTATTTGAGAGGGGGAGGAGGCCAGAGGAAGAGGGGGAGAGAATCTCAAGCAGACCCTGTTCTAAGCCTGAAGCCCTACACGGGGCTCAGTCTCATGACCCATGAGATCACGACCTGAGCCAAGACCAAGAGTCTGACGCTTCACCAACATAGCCACCCAGGCGCCGCCCCGGGGATTTTAATACTCCAGGAAAGCACCACACTATTCATCCCCTCCCCTCCCATCCAGCCCACCACCTTGCCCCCACTGGAGCCAAGCCTGAAATTCACTCTTAGAACTTCGCTTTTTTAGTCCGGTAATTCTCTACTCAGCAGAAGTTGGCATATATCCAAACCACCTGTTTTTGTTCTTAAACCACACAGAATTCCCTCCCCTGGGAGAAGTATCAAAATGGTTTGGGAGAGCACAGTGATCTCATTAGCACAGTATGAGAAGACTTACCAAGAAGTTCTTATTCCCCTGCCTTTCCAACCTCTCTTCACTGCACACCCCCTACTAGAAACACCCTAAGACTATGTTGAGAGTTACTGTTGTAAACTAAGACTGTGATTAATAAGGTCAGCTAATCAAGTCATATACCTCTCACTGATACGGCGTTTACTTCTTTGCTTCTTATTAAACCTCAGGCAGCTTTTGGATTAGAATAGTCACCTTCTAAATGCACCCTTGAGGCTTTAAGCCTAGTAGGTGCTCTCCTGCCTTGAGTTGATCTTCATGTTTAACATCCTCTCACTCTTCCTCTTACCCTTCACGATTCACTAAAGAGCACCATTCTCTAGGAACTCTCTGAAACCCTCCAAGGCTGGATTAAATGCTCAGGTGACGTAAGCACCCCTTGGAAACCTCCCATATAACCCTTCTTATCACACTGTATCTGGAATGAGGAATCTGGCTCCTTTTTTTGGCGGGGGGGGTCGTGTTTGACTGTGGATAGCATTTAAGCCTCACTCTTTCCACTCTCCTTTGTGTCCCACATTTGGACAAGGTGATAAGAAAACCTGGGTGCTCCTCCTTTGGCGCCAGCAGGAGATTGGAACCATGAAAGCCCCTATGTATGCGCACCCACCTAACCAAGGGCTTTGTTAGTCCAGTAATTCTCCCTTCCTTGCTCTCTCAAGCCATTTCAGATCTGCTGGTGAGGACTGCTCTGTGCACCTCAGAGACCACAATTTTGTAAGCAGTGACTTCTCATAGCCCTCTGTGTGTGAGTGGCATGAGAAGTCTCAACATCCAAGTCAAACTTTGGGTAGAAGAGCCCATCTGCTATGGAAGGTGACCATAACAATATTACAATCACTGATTCTCTTGCCCATGTTCTCCCCTAAATTATGAGTTCTTGGAAGATAAGAACTGTCCGTTGTTTATTTATGGACCCTCAGTGCCTAGTACAGTGTCTCGCACAAGAGTAGATGTTGGCTTGTTGAAATAAAGTACATGTCTTTAGTCAAATCCCTGTTTCCATTAAACAAAATGTAAATAAAGTATACTTTTATGGTTTTAAGGGAACTCTGGTATCATCAAATACAACCTAAACTAATGAGGTATATATATTGCATCATTACCTGTGATGACAAAACAAACACACAGAAGGTTTTAGTTGTTGTTGCTGTTTATACTAAGAAGTTTCAAAGAGAACTGACTAAGGTACAAAGCTAACTTTTGTGGACTAGGCTGAAAGGTAATGAGATCATGACCCTGGGAGGCATTTAAATAGGCATCACTTGGAGATGTCTAGTCTACTCTCCAAAGCTTCAGTATGGTATGTTAGGATTACCATTGATTTGGGTAGTTTGAAGAACCTGGAAGTAATCATGGACACTGAGCCAGGTAGCAAATTATACATACATTTATTACACATTTCACAATTATTTCAAAAATGCTTTCAGATGGGATGCTTAAATTTCAAAGTAACCAGTATCAAAGTTAAATCTCTACCAGTAGCTGACTTTAATAGCTGCCTATAATACATTCAGATCATCCTCTGCATCAATTACAAGAATAATAGGTAAAAACTCTGGTGAACGGGCTGCGCACCAGAGTGAAATGAGGCAATCCTCCCCAACCCATCACTGATTTGCACGGACATACACACAGCCCTGCTTCCTAGCCTTCTGTAGTTCCTTGGGCAGATCTCTATTGGAAGAATGTATTATACTGTATTGTAACTTCCCATGTTCTTTGCCATCTTCCTCCACGCTCATATACCACAGAAGACATGACTGTTTCTTGCTCACTGCAGCTTCCCTATCTCCTAGTATTGTGCTGGTCATCAGGGCTGCATTTTGACTTCCTTAGGCTCTGAGCACTATAGCCTTTATGAGCACCTTTCTCCATAAAAAGAAATGGAAGATGGTATTTTATGACTGTGTTGGTATAAAGATGAATACATGTTATATATTAAAACATTTTCTTGGACCTAAAAGTTCATTTCTTTCTTGCAATTATAAAAGCAATTATAACATTTTTCTGAGCTCCTAAAAATATTGTTGACCTTAACGGCTAACAGGTAAGTTGGCCCTGCTGGTCATATCAAAGGCACTCAGTCCCTGTTGGATGAATGGATGACAGGTGGGAGAGAAAAAGAGAATGCAACCAGCCAGCTAATAGTAAAATACACAGAGTTCAAACACATGTAATCAGTCTAATCATCTGTCCATCCCCACGCACACCCATTATCACTTGAGGCCGTTAGACCCAAAGAAGTGGGAGCCCTGTTGCATTTTAGGGGGCTCTGCTTTTTGGAGTGTCATCCTCCATATTTTCTTCCAAGACCCCTCTTGCACCTGAGACCACCAGGGGCCACAGCACCATCTGGGCTGGGTGTCCCAAGTCTTGGTCAAAGCCCACAGGGATCCGTTTCTGTACCCCACCCCCTTTGAGGTGCCCTCCAACCCTCTAATCCTCCTAATCCTCCTCCCTCAAGCATTGGGTTGACCAGTGCTCCAGGAGCTCCAGAACGTGTGCCTATGCAGTGGTCCTGGGGTTCTGTGGCTGGGACAGAGTTCCCAGGGGTGAGCTGTAATCTGTCATTCCCATTGGCCAGTATAGTAATTGGGCTGCCTGAATAGTGCTGCTGGCTACTGGTTTATATAGATTCTTATTCACAACAGGTAAAGGACGAGTTCAGGCTTTGGGCTAACCTTTCAGCCTTCAGCAGTGTGTGGGCTCTCTGCACCTGCCGACCACAATATATTCTTGGGTCTTCGGCACCTGAGGATGGTAGGGTGATACTGGCATCCTTTACCCAGTGCACCCTCCCTGCCCACAGTGGCACTCGGGATTCTCACCACACCCCCTTCACAGCTCTGCACCATGTGGCAGGCAGTCGTCCAGGGTGGCCACACCTACCTCTTCCTGGGACATCCATCGCTCTCCAATACCAATGAGCCCTTCCCGTCCATGTAGTGACAAGGGCCTCTCTGCATTGATCTTTACTCATGCTGGGTGAGGAACACACTTCCCTTGCAGGAATCACTTTCCTTACTCTGTCCACAGTCCCCTGTATATTCCTCTCAGTGGTGGGCCATGTATGGAAGGCAGGGTGATAGTCAACTTTAAAAGATGTTACGATCTAAGAATGCAGTGATTATGGCCTAAAGCATTCAAGAGGTGACATGTTTGGAAGATGTATCTGTTCTGTTTATACTACGAAGTTCCACACAATAAATTCTATATGACCAGAAAATGAATTATTGTTATTGAATTTTTGAATTAGTTGAAAAATTATTGAATTTTCCTGTGTGCTCTGAATAAGACTTGCATTTGTGGGCAAATCATCAGTAAAGCCCAAATACAACGTTTGAGAGAATCCTTGAAAGCCAGTATTTGTGGGATGGGCAGCAGGCTGCAGGATACACGTCAGGAGTCATGCTGCAGCCAGCATCAAATAAATGAAATCAATGCTGCTGGTGAAGTTTAGAAGCACAAAGATCAACATTGCTTTAATATAAACAGGATCCAAACAGCTATGGTATTGTGAATTAACAGTCATTGCTACCTTATTCTCATGGTAAAAATTATTACATTTAACAATTAAGAACCTGAAGAGGGGATGCCTGAGTCTGAACAGAAAGAGACGGTCTCCGAATAGGAAGAATCCTCCTGTGCTCTGATTGGACAATAAACAAATACAGGAGTACCTCTTCTCTACTAATTATTCTAAACCATCATTGAAAAGAGCTATATGGGAGCTCAATGTTGCAATGCATTTTTTTAAGTAGTCATTATAGAACTAGAATTTAAATGAAAACTTGAAACAAACAAAAGTTTGTAAATAGACACAGACCCTGCAAAACATTTGCCTGGGGCTTTGAATACCCTAGGGGTGGTGTTGATTAAGGAAAAACAGTTGGAAGGATCCTCCCTCCTTTCTATAGAATACATTCCTGCAAGGATATCTATCATAGGATTTTTACCTTGATTTCATCCAGCCTTTAAGGAAGAGGACTAAGGAGCCGGGGCGGGGGTGGGGGACACGACACTATGTAATTAACACATCAAAGCCGATGCCCCTCCCCCTCAACATACCCTGCTAGTGACTGTCAGCTTCAAGCCTTCAGGCCTTAGCACTTTATCATTTTCATGGGAATTACCAGAAATACCCCCAAATAATAGCAGTTCTTTGAAGAATTATAGTGAAACTCAAGCCCTGTTGAAGAGATCTGAAAATTGTGCTTTCACAGTAGAGAGAAAATACTTTCTTTTCCAGGTGCCACTAGAAGAAATGTAGTCATCACCACAACTGCTAGATTTTCAAAGAATCTTTCCAAGGATGGGTCTCTTCATTATCTTATGAGCTGAAGCAAGTAGACATTTCCATGGGAGAGAGAGAAAGTTGGGACAAGGAAGCAATCATCATCTTCCTAAGTGCCCATGTAAGGGCCTGATAAAATACCACCCTTTCTGACACTTCCCATCCATTATTTCACTCCCAGTAAAAATAGCATTCTGTCAGCCAAGACAGAATCAGGAATACAGCTGTTTAAAAATGAGGTTTTCTCCTGATGAGAAGAGTCAGAACAAATCAAGG